GGCAGGAAGCTCGACCCTCTGCGGATGGGAAGGGGACCGAGATGGCAGGGGGGTGGGGGTGGGGGACGTAAAGAGAAATAAGATGTGCTCTGCACCAGATTTGGCCTCACCTTCCTTTGGAGCCTTGCGTACATCCCATACCTCGGCCACAAGGGTGCGGCTGCCCTGATACCCTCGGCTTCCTGAGAACCTAGCACTGTGCACAAATCGCTTTCACTACTGAGATCGCCCTTTCCTTACTCTTCACCAACAAACTCCTACTCACCCTTCACTGACAAACTCCTACTCATCCTTCAAAGCCCTCCTCCATAAAGCCCTTTCGACTCAGAGCAGCAATCCTCCTGCCTCAGCCATCTGAGCAGCTGCAATGACAGGCATGTGCTGCAGCATTCAGTCGTGTGGACTATTCTCAGTGATACCTGGAGCTTCCCTTTTCCATTTTGCTGTGTGTTATGGTTTATGTCTGTGTGTCCCCCTAAAGCCTCCTGCGGCCCTGGGGCAGGCTATTAGAGTTTGAATATGGGTGTGAGAGCTGCACCCGCCCGGGAGTGGATAGTTTGCATATGTAAGGGAGAGGAAGAAGCTGCTTGGGGACATTCCTCCCCCATTCTGCGCTGGTGAGTGCTTGCTGGTTAGCTGTGTTCTGCCGCCCTGAGATGCAGCTCTCTGCCATGTGCCACTCTGCCTTATAAACCTGCCAAGTACGGATTAAACCTTCCACGAACTGTAAGCAAAATAAACCTTTCCCTCCTTAATTTTGGACATCAGGTATTTTGTCCCAGCAGCGAGAAAAAAGTAACCAAGACACTGTGCTAAGTGTGGCTCCCTCCGCAGCCCTGTGATGCGGTGCCCGCGGGTGGCCATGGAGCAGGGCATTAAGGAAGTCTTTCGCACTTTAGTGTGAACTTGCTTGCACTGCCCTTTCCTCTGGGACAAAGGAAAAGTCAGTTTCTGAAGACGCTGACAGATGAGGCTAGGGCTGCTGGACTCAGAGCGCAGGTTCGCCCGGCCTCGCCTACGGCGCTGTGGGCTGAACAGGGGCCTGACTTGGGAGACAGCACTCGGAGACTCAGGCTCTGCCGCGACAGCCCCCTCCACAGCTGGAGGGCCGGGAGGGCCTGGGCGGGACCGGGCTCTACCAGCCTGCACAAGGAGCTGTGCGTGGAGATCGCAGGTGCAGGCGTGGGCCAGGAGGGATGAGCTTTCAAGACTTTCTCCCAGACCCCAGCAAGAGGGCTCATGGTGGTGTCACACCCCTGTCATCCGAGCACTCGGGAGGCTGAGGCAGGAGGATTGCTGCGAGTTCGAGGCCAGCCTGGGCTACACAGTGTGTTCAAGTCCAGCTTGAGCTGCACCCTAAGAACCAGTCTCAAAAAACCAGAAAAGCAGCAGAAAGAAGGCCTCGGCGAGTCTCTGTGTGACCAGGAGCAGCTGTGCCTCCTGCCTAAAGGGCGGACGACAGCCTGTGTGCAGACACCCAGGCTCACACAGGAAGCGGCCAGCGCTGGCCGAGCCCGTGTGCTGTATCCTCTTCTCAATGCCCGTCAGGCCGATCCCTGCGCCCCCCCCCCCGTCCCCCAGTGGGGTGGGGAACCTGTGTGACCAGCCTTGGATGCGTGAATCCCAGCCGCCTCGCGCCCTGCCAGGGAGGGGCGAGCGGGAGACGGCGTCACTTCGGCCTGGCGCCCGTTTATTACTGGTCTCCATGGCAACAGCTGGTCTCGGGAAGGGAGCCTCGCCGTCCGTGTCCCCCACCCGCAGCGTCCTGCTTCCTGGATGGACGGGAGGGACAGCGACACCAGCTGAGCACTCTCTCCTCTTCAGGCCGTCTCCTCCCGGTTCTGCAAGGACCGGCGCCTGCACCACCACCCTCCCCTGGAGACCGAGGGTCTGCGGATTTAGAGACCTGTGTGTCCCAGAGCTGCCTCTTGGCACCCAGCGGCTGCTCAGGAAAAGTGGGCTGCAGGAGGACGCGGCAGACACACCGTCGGTTATGAATTTACCGAGTGCAGCATGGGCAGGACACAGCCAGGCACTGACCCGGCCAGGGGAGCCCAGCGCTGCCCGGGACACGCCTTCCACACCTGCAGCCTCGCCGGGGAGGGAGAGGCTTCTCTTCCTCTGCACAGCAGGTTTCCGAGCAGAGATCACACTGTTAGGGGTGCAATGATGCTGGGCAGATGTCACGGAAGGATGTTAGAGCAGCAGGGAGTCTCACCCGTGATCCATCAGACCCACACTGACAGAGAACGGAGCTCGGGGCTTTGCTCAGGGGGCGAAAAATGAGACATCAGCACAGTGACTGAGGCACAAAAGGAGAGAAACGCAGAAGGGCAAGGCTCCCGCAAGCCGCCCGGAGCACACGCTCTTCGCCATCCAACCTCGCCCTTGGAGCGGCCCCCCGCACCAGCTCCCAGGACCACGAGGGGCCCGGCCTCCATCCTCCTCAGCCCCGGCGAGAGTGGAGGAACGGGGCCCAGAGACACGGGGCGCCGCTTCCAAAGTCACACAAGGAATGAGCAGAAAATGACCCAGCGCTACAGTCCAGGCCCCCGACTTCAGGGCAGGCTCGTAATTTTAATAGACGCACATCATCACCCTGTGTGGTTTGAAGCCTTCTTTCCTATTAGCAGGCTGACCACAAAAGCAACTGATACAATGCGTAACATCCTCTGGTGTCCTGTTTATTTCACTGAGAAACGACTGACACACACAGCCGTGCGCTTCTTGGAGATATACATACATATAGATATATATATAAAACTTGAGAAGGCTTTGGCACCTCTTTCCCTATGTAAATTAATCTGCATCAAAATTACCGAATCATTGTTATGAAGTGTTTCTTTCTCCCCTGATAGTTTGAAGATTAGTAAAGTACAAAAACAGCCCAAACATGGAGAAAACAAATCAGGCCGTTCCTTTACAAGTAAGGATGGTCCTTTTCATTCTACCAAGGTAAGGAGTTAAAAAGCTTAACTTTTATTTATTTATTTATTTTACAAAAAGAAAACAGTTACAAGCTATAGCTGCGAACCAACGGTATTTCCCTCACTTAAGGGAAACCTGCTTCTGTGGGGGACTCTGCAGTCACGACGCTTCAGCAGCCCGGCTGGCCATGGTCCAAGGCCGCAGTGTCGATGGGTGGCGAAATCTAACGATGACGCCAGGCAGAAGGCATCGAGGATCAAACCCGCTGGGCGCTCGGGTGGTTTCATGCAGATCAGGCCTGTGTGGCCCATGCAGACGCGTCGCTCTGGCAGTAGCAGGAAAGAACTGGACACCGGGCCCGGCCCTTCCTTCTCCTGAGCTGACCTGGCGGACGGTTACCCGCGGCTTCCTAATAGAAGGGGCCCCGATAAACGCAGGTGTGGCCTGCAGTCCTATCCGTGTGTGCAGACGCGGCGCTTTCTCAGACAGACATCTAATTCTAAGTACAGCCGCACGCGGCTGCGATCCCCCGCTGGTCCCGCCAGGCGTTTGAGTCCACTTTTTTCAGGAACATGTGCTGCACCTGCCCCGGAAGCCGCACTCACACTCCTGGTCTGTACACGACGAGCGCTGCTTCTGCGAAGCCTCCAGGCCCCTTCCTCCCCTGCACACGCAGCAGCAGTGCCGCACCCAGCAGATGTGCCTGACGCGCGGGGCACCAGGAACGCGCCAGCACGGGCAGGAGAGGCGCCCGCACGAGACCCCTGCTCGAGCTGCACCTCGCGTACCTCGAGAAACGCTGCACAGGACGGCGGAAATGTGGCGCGGGCTCTGGAAGGAGCAGCAGAGAAGCGCCTCTGTGAAAAAGACTGCCTCAGGGAGCGGAGGCAGCACCGGCTGGGAGCTGGCTTTGGGGCGCACGTTTCCAGTTCCCCCTTGGAAAGGTGAGGGTCTTCCCTCCTGCGAGGGTGCCTGGCACGTCCCATGGCGCTGGGGCATCACCCAATCAAGCCGGCGACGCAGGCCGAGGGCCTCGGTGTGACTCTCGGGGCGGCTCACAGGTCAGCTCACGGGGCGGCTGGGAAGCCGGGCCATTTCAGCACGGTCCTGTGCGCAGCCGTGGCCCCGGCCTGACACGGGCCCAGCGGGAGATCTGTCCTGCTTCCTAGGACAGGTGGACGACCTCAGGGGACACCGAGGCGCACCGTTCCTTCTCAGCCCCGGTCCTTCTGGAGAGTAAGTTTTTAACTCGTAGTCCCGTTTTCACGCAGGAAGGGTAGGCTACAGGCTCACAGGCCTGCTGCAAGGCGTGGGCTGCGGGTGACCCAAGGACACTGTGGGACAGGAGAGCCGCCTTCAGTCCAGAGGAAACCAAGCACTCAGGGCCCCGCTGCAGGACCGGGGCTCCCAGGAGCGCATGGCTGGACCCCTCCCGGCCCTGGAAGGCGCCATACCAGTGCTCCGCCAGGGGCCAGAGTCTCGCAGCCTCAGTTTCCTGTGTCCCACCCCCAGGGCTGGCAGCGGACCGTCACCGCTGAAGACAGGGTTCAGCCCAGAGGAGAGACACAGGCAAGGCAGGCACGGCGAGGGGCGCTGATCTCAAAGCTGGGCCCCGGGCTTCGCACATTTCTGCTGCCCCCTCGGCCGGGCTCAACGGCCCCTGCATGGCCTGGGTAAGGTTTCAGATTGGCTGCGTCCTATCCTGAGGGTGAGGCTTCCCGGGGTCCCTCAGAGTCTCCTCCCCTTCCCTAAACTCAGAAGCCCAGAAGCCCCGCGACTCCTTGTGAGTTAATACCTTATGACAGGGCTCTCCTTTAGCGCTGAGGTATGACTGGCACAGCTGATAACAGCTTAAGGCGCAGCAAGATTTCAAGAGAGGAGAGACTGAATTACCAGCTTACAATGACTCTAATCTCTAAGATATCCTTTCTTTACTTTTTGTACAATAACCATATGAAAACAATTTTTTTAGACAGGGTCTTGCTACGTAGTCCAGGCTGGCCTTGAGCTCACAGTGATCCTCCTGCCTCAGCCTCCCAAGTGCTGGGATGACAAGTGTACCCTACTACGCCTGGCTTGAAAATAATTTTTTATTCTTCCTATATATAACTCAAGATAAAGGTATAACTTCTGGTATTGGGGAACTGATGTTATAGACAGGAGAGTTTTAATGAAGAAATCAACTTTGATAGGTGCACACACAGAGACATACATATATATCCTATAGTTCTCCCGTCGGGTGCTGACCAGGTTAGCACAGTCCTAAGAGCACCATGTGCTACACAGGCTTCAGGACTGAAGTCACTCTTGGCATTTTAACCGCACAGGTGCTCAGCCAGCCTGGGTCTCCGCTTCCCTGCGGCAGCTGCGTGCCGAAGGCTAGGATGTGAGTGAGAGGCGCAGACCGACCTTCCTCACCCGGCCTCCCGACCCAGTCCCACGGCTCCCAGGTAGACAACGGGGTCACATTCTGTCGGAAATCAGTGAGGGGCATTGCAAAGAAAGGGCAGCTTGGAGCTTCGAGACTTCAGAGTCCGTCCTCCCCAGCGGACAGCGTCGGAGCTACAAGCAGTGGTACCAGAAGCTGAAGGCAGATCTCGGTGGGCGCCGCTCCGACCCCGCTCGGCGGCGGAGGGGGAGGGGAGGGGAGGGACGGTCTCGCCCCCACTATAGCAGGGTGCAGGTCTTTTTATCCTTGAAAGGGTTTTCCGAGGTCGGGATGCCGACGAGCAGGGGGTCGCTCCTCGCGTGCTCCTCACAGTAGGACATGAGGTCCGCGGACGCCTTGGACACCTGCGACATAGCGGGGGACAGGAGGGACAGCGCCTCAGTGCCCGCCCAGAGAGGGTGCAGGGTCAGGACCAGCCAGGCTGGGCCAAACGTGCCCTCGCCGGCTGGCTGGCTGCACCGTGCCCAGCCCGAGGCTGGGATCCATCGGAAGAGGGATCCAGCAGAGTCTCACAAAACGAGTGGCCAGGATTCTCCAAACACAGACGTCGCGAGGGAGGTCGGCACCGGAGAACCTGAAACGCTAGGGGTTTGCAAGCGGCTCACAGGGAAAACTACACCTCCTGCGTGTGTGCTGCGTGTGTGCTGCGTGTGTGCAGGAAAGCGTGCACGCAGGCATGGCCAGATGCGAGCAACTGGGGAGTCCCGGTGACGAGGGCTGAGCGCGGTGACAAGTCCTGCGGGCTCGTTTCTCAGGGTGCAAAGCACGCGGTGTGGGGCCGTGCGGGAGGCTGTGTCTTCGCTTCCCTCCAAGAACAAAGTGGACCGGGGCGGGGCAACCAGCTGCAAGGGGAAGCTGCAGGCTCGGGCTGGGGGAGCAAACGGAGGCGGCCGGGCTCAGGAGCCACCACGAGGGTCTGGGCGGGGACAGACTGGGTGTTGAGGCAGGGAGGCAGGGAGGCAGGGAGTGTGGCGTGTGGGGTGTGGGTCGTGCCAAGGACAGGTGATGTCCCAGGCAACGTATCAGGTGACAGTTCCATCCCTGGGAACGCTGGGAGTACCACATCCCAGCGCTCTGGCTGCCTGGCCCCTCTGGGGACCAGAAGGAAAAGAGTTCCAAGTCAGGAGACCTAAGAAATGCCCTGGTGCTCATCCTGCGGACGGGAAGCTGTCACCTACCTGGGCTCGCCAGAGGGGCCCATTCAGACATCTGGTAACTCAGCTCTTCGCTTTTTTTGAGACAGGGTCTTGTTATATATTTTAGGCTGGCCTTAAACTCGAGGGATCCTCCTGCCTCAGCCTCCCACATGCCGGGGTCACAGGCATGTGCTGCCACACCTGGCACCTTGGCTCTTTTGAAATAGGTAGGAAATGAAAACGAAGGTCCTAGGCCGTCAGCCTGCTCCAGGGCAACCCCAGGGCAAGCAGAATTCAACAGCAAATCGAACAGCTGGTTCTCCAGCCCAGGCGAGCAGGGGATGCGAGCGGCCAGCCAGCGGCCCCGGCCCGCCAGTCTCACCTTTATTCTCTCGATGGAGGCCTCCAGCCGCAGCTGCTGCACGGTCCTCCGGGCCTGGGCTATGTTGTTGGTGCTGGTGGTTTTGCTGGACATCTTCAAGGTTCCTTCGTGCCTAAAATCTAAACAGATTTTTTTTTTCTTAAAGGTGAATAACAGACAAAGAGGAATTGAGGTAAGTCACGTTCAGAGATAAAGTCCCTGCAATGAAGGGATTATTATGCATATTTAAAAGGTACCGATAAACTTCAGTAGTTAAAAAAAAAAGTGAAGTTACCTTTAAGTTATTTAAACACTCACAAAAATGCCTTGGTTATGGGGGAAGCTGAAGGCCAATCTCTCCAAGGAGCTGCTTATAAAACCCTAACCTGTCAACCCAGCACTCGGGAGGCTGAGGCAGGAGGATCCCTATTTTAGGGAAATGGATGCATTTGCACAGGGGACGTCATTAGGAAAAGGCCCCTCCGCAGAGCCCCTCCGGCCCAGGTCTCTCTGCATGTTGTCCATGTAAACAGCGCTGTGAATCTTTGGTTTGCACATGGCAGCTCCAACAGGGAAATCGATGCACCCCCCACCCCGCAAACTGAGAGCGGCCTGTGGAGACCTCTAGGAGGAGACAGACGCTGAGGGGCTGCCCGCAGGCACAGCCGCTGTTCCCAGGGGCCTCATCGCTGCCGTCCCCTTTAACAGGAGGCCCGCGATTTTCTCTTTGACGGACAGGCCCAGCAACAGGAAGTAGCCAGGCAGCCCTTGTCTGGTGAGCCCCTCGCATAGCATTTCTGGCTGCCTCCCGAGGCGCCACGGCTCGAACAGTGTCGGGCGGGCACGTAGCAAGTCCCTATCCAGGGAAAAGGATGCGGGCGTGGAGGCACACACCTGTCACTCCGGCACTCAGGAGGCTGAGGCAGGACGTCAGCGGTCAGCCTGGGCCGCACTGAGGCCAAGCTCAGATCGGACTACAAAGCCAGACCTTGCCTGCACAGGCCAAGCCAGTAATGGACCGGCAGGAATCGTCCAGGGACAGGCATCTCAGCAGCAGAAAGCCTACGGTCCTGTCCACCCTCTGAGCTCTCCCTGGCCTCCTCCGGGCGGCCTGCTGCCACCAACGCTGTCACCCTCGGTTCGAGGGTCACCTGTGCTCTCTGGCCCCAGCCCTGGATTCCAGCTCCCCTCCCTCCCCGGCCGCCGGATGTAAAGCAACAGAAGCAGCTCGCCCGGCCGGGAGCTCGGCCCTGCTGCGGGTCCCAGGGCCCGTTCCCGGCACAGCCCCGCCCTGCAGTTAGGTCCCGGGCGTGGTGGGCTGGAGGAGGACGCAGAGCTGGCAGGCGCACCGCGGCGGAGTGGCAGCTGCGTGACTCACAGGAGCAGGTGGACACAGGGCGGCCACCTCGCCCGCCAGGGCGCGGCACGTTTGGGCCACCGCGGCGCCTGCCGGTAGCAGGGCTAAGCTGACTCAACGCTCACAGCTGCGCCCGGGCTTGGGCCAGACAAACTGCAGAGCCCGCTGGCACCGTGTGGGCTCCCTGGCGTGCCACACGGCATGCCACACGGCGCGCCATGGGGCTTACCATGTCCTGGAGGCCCAAGTCCAACGGGCCGGGCGGGGCTCGCACCCCCCCCACCAGCGGCCGGTTTGGGCAGATGGGCAGACAGACTGCTCCGGGGGGACTCTGAGACAGGCCCGCCACGGCGGCAGGCGCTTTATCTCCTGGAGCCCAACTTGTCTCATTTGTAAGAGAAAGGGAAAAAGCCAGGAGCAGCCGCGTATGCCTGTCATCAGCACCTGGGAGGCTGAGGCAGGAGGATGGCCATGAGTTTGAGGCCAGCCTGGGCTACATAGTTTAAGAGCAGCCTGCAGTAGACAACAAGAAGCTCTCTCAAAACAAAACAAAACAAAACAAAACAAAAAAACCGAAGAGCAAGGCAGTCTCACCAGCTGCAAGAGGGTGTCCGGCACAGGAGCGAGGTGCACCGCGCACTGCACTTGCGACAGTTGTTGCCGTGGGTCAAGCACAGCACCGAGGATTAACGCTCCACTTGTACCTATCTGCCCCCCGCCAGTGAACCCCAAGGGCTGTGGGGGAGGCAGAGGCAGCCGTGCACCGCCCTTGGCCGGAGCCTGTGGAACAGGAAGCTGGGAGGAGACCCAGGCAGGGCAGGGTGGCCCGGCACTGTCCTGGCCTAGGTGACCCAGTGTCAGCACACCCGGGACGCCTCGGGCATGCTGTCCTGCCCAAGGAGAGGCCCGGGGTCCCCTCCCAGGGGCGTGGCCCACTCTGGGCTCCTGGGCCAGTGCTTGTTGAAATGCCAGGAAGGCAGGACAGCCCTGACAGCGACAGCATGCGGGGCCTGCGCACGGCCAGCTGGGGACGGGACCAACCTGGCCCCCCGCCAGCCCAGCAGTGACCAAGGCTGGGGTCCTCAGACTTGTCCGCAATGTGCGCGCGCCTCCTGGGCTTTGCTGCCCATTTCCCCTGTGAGCTGGCCTGCAGCTGAGGGCGAGGTCCTCTTCCTCCCAACTCCAGGGCGCGGCCTCCCAGGCCCGGACAGGCGTCCTGTGGGCGTGCAAACACCCACCCCGGGCCGGCACTCTGCTCCACGGCAGAGGCCGCGTTTGTAACCAGCCTGCCGAGGCCCCTCTCCAAGCGTGAGAGGACTGGCTTCTTGCACCCGAGCAGGGCTTCCTTCCTTCCGACCAGTTCACAACCGGGAGCTGAGACTGCGAGTGCGACTTAGAGGTAGCAAGCAAAAGGCAACAGCGCGTGACCTCCGCGTCCACGCGCCGGGGGCCCCTGTTCTCCTCGCTGACTTACGGGGCCCTCGTCCCGGTCACCCGCACAGCTCCCTGTTCCCTTCTGCTGTGGAGCCCTGCAGGTGCTGGCTCCTAAAACGCATGCGACACTTCTTTCTTAAGACAGGACCTTGGCATGCTGCCTAGCCAGCCCTGGGCTCCTCAAGCGACCCTCGAATGGCTGGGGCCTCAAGCCTGCTCCGGTGCCTGGCCTGTGCAGCCTGCTTTGCCCTGAGTGGGGCTGGTCCTGGTGCTGAGAATAAACGGGAGGGGACGCAGGTCCTGCCGAATTGGCAAACAAGCAAGAGGACCCCTTCCACTACCGGCTGCCCGCCGCCTCCCCTCAAATCTACTTCCTTTCCCGAGAGCCCCTCCCCTTGGTGGGACGGGGGTCGCCAAGCCTGGAAAACAAGTTCAGGTTTTGGGGATGGAGATTCTGCACCTTTGCTGACCTCTAAACGCACACCGCTGCGTACTGAAGACTGTTTAGCACGGCTTTGGCAAGCTGAGGAGTTGGAGCATTTGTGGGCGTTTGTGGGGGTCCCCGGGCTGCTGGCAACAAAGAGAATGTCTGGTTTGAGCTTTGTTCCTGTAAGGAAGCCAGATCAGAGCTGTCCTTTCCAGTGAAGCCCCTCTGAGGAGCTCTGAGCGGTTCTACGGTCACCCCAGGTCCAGCAGGGGTCCTGCTGCCCACACAGGGAGGTGGAGACGTCCCCTTCCTACACGCAGCTGTTCTGTACCAGGAAACAGCTGGCTGTGGCACAGCAAGAAGCACCCTGAGCTGGCCGTGCCTGCGGAGGGTGCGCTCTGGGTCTCTCTCCTGGGCTGCCGGGACACGCTGGAGCGCGGCCTCCAGGGCAGGCAGCACCTGGCACTCCCGTGGAGCCCGCGTGGGCCAGGTGGCTTCCTTGTAATCCCAAGTTGGCCGTGCCTGCCGTCCTGGTTTTATAGAGGAAGCAAGCGAGGTCAGAAAAGCTGGCCTCAGAGTGACCCAGTTCGTGCACCTGGACCTGGCTGAGAAGCCTTTCCTTTCCGGAAGCCGCCCTGCCCCCCTGCTCCGGGGGAAGGGGCGGTTCCTACCAACTACACTCGCACTCGGTCCCACAGTGGGGCTGCTTGGGGGTTTGCGGGCAACTCTGGCCAGCGCACCCGGAGCTGGGCTTGCTGGTCGCCTCCTCCTCTGCCCATCTGCAAGGCTGGAAGTCACCCATGGTGGCCTTGAGCCCTCAGGCCTGGTCCTGCCGTCCAGGTGCAGCCCCCACTTGCTGTGCATGCCACCATCTCTGCCCACCCCGGCAGTGCCTTACATGGGGGACAGATCTGCACAGCCACGCGCCGGGCAAACCCTCTGCACTGGTTTTCAAGCTGGGGTTTGTCCTAGTGTCTCCCAGGCACAGGATGTCCTGCAAGGGAAACAGGCATCTCAGCTTTGTCTGGGGCTTCAGAGGCCAGAAGAGCCGCAGACGGGAGACGCGGGCCTGAGCTCTCTGGGAGGAAGGCACCAGCGAGCCCCAGGGCCTGGCTGCTCCTGTCACTGGCCAGCGGCCAAGGCTCCAGAGCAAATGCCCTGTGGGTGTAGTAAAAGCGGGGCTGGGAAAAAAAAGCAAGCCCCAGGCCTCCATTTCTGCTTCTCGTTTTGGCTTCCAGAGTCTGACTCCAGCTCTGGCTGCTTGTGCAGCAGGGGGACAGGGTGACCCGGCTCTGGCTCCCCGGCTGGCCGGGTTAGCAGGACACAGTGCAGTGCCTGTGTGTGCGAACGCTGCTCTGGCTGGCCCGGGCTTCTGTGCCCTCTGTGGGAGAGGAGAGAAAGGTTCTCGTGGCCTCGCGGCTGCAAAGCCACCTCCAGAGAGTTTCTCTATGTTCCTTGGCACTTAGGAGCCGTGGCAGAACCTCCGGGGTAAAGCCGGATTGCACGGTGCGGGGCTGGCCACACACAGTTAACTGCAGTGTGTGTGTGTGTGTGTGTGTGTGTGTGTGTGTGTGTGTGTGTGTGTGTGTGAGAACTCTGAGCTGACCAGCAGCTTTAACAGGGAGGTGGGAGGTTTCCGGAAAATACCCCCACACCCCTCAGAGCCGGGCCTGAGCGCTGGGGCCCCCTTAACGCCTGCTGGTGCCCGGCCTGGCCGCTGTCCATGTGACCTGGGGACGCTGCCCTGGCTCCATGCCCTGGATACCGAGTTCCAAGGATGCGCTCAAGGCCACGCCAGGGCGTCTGGCCTCAGTCCTGTTCCTGCTGCTTCCGAGCCGCAGGGCCCGGGGCATGACAGGGAAAGTATGAGGTGTCGGTTTCCTTCCTTTCCTGTCGGAGGAGTAAGAGCGTTGGGGCGGTGT